GCGGACACCGGAACGTGGTATGTGTACCAGGTTAGGGTTAGGCCAAATTTCATTCACAAATACTCCGGGAATCATGTTAGTCCCCAAACTCGTAATAGAACTAAAATAGGAAAAATTGGAATAAAATTAGGCCAAACCCTGACCTGATACACATACTACGTTCCGGTGTCCGCCATCTTGGTTCACATACTACGAAAGCGCCCTTACTTCCAACCAATAGTTGGAATCAGCTTTTATTATTAAGAGTTCCAAAGTAGGATTCAAATATTATTATAAATTCGGAGTATGATTATGTTTGTGATTTAGAATTGTTGAATTGTACTTCACATTTCTGAGTAACTAATCCAGGATTTCATAGACGAATTTGGAATTTGCGGTATCGCTAACATGGTTAACATTGTTGTAGTAGTGTGTCTGTTTTACGATGGTCGGTTTGAATGAAAGCGCGTTGAGGTTCTTTATTGGAAAATACTCATTAATATAAGATAAAGGCTGTTTTCCATACATAACAGGAAGAAACACATCCACGGCAATAATTTTACTTAACGGTTCGGCATCTATTAATTTTTTCGCCCCAGCGTAAGATATCATGTATGCTATGGCCCAGAAAGAATATACTGGTTGAACCAAGTTAGGACCACTTTCATTTTCTAACATCACCGGTTCTTCCTCTCCTTTTTTCATTGGAATTCTTTCCAAATAGATCAAATCCCACGAAATTTTCTCATTTTCAACTTTTTTCATAACATTTTTAAATTTCTGTATAAATTTTGGTCTGAATTGAACATCGTCTTCAAAAATAATAGTAGATTCGTATTTATTCTTCAAAATCTTTTTCCAAATGAAATAATGACTCAAAAAACAGCCAATTTCACCCACGGTCATATCATCACCACCATCTGGGCCTTTATATCCTGGAAGTATTTTGATTCCGAGACTATCCATATAACTTTTGTTTAATAATTTTCCATCAACAGCCTCAAATAACGTGTAATTAATTCCATGCATTGCGAAGCTTTTATTTATTCGTAATCTGCGATCGCGATTTCGCTCCAAATTTATTACAAACACATGATCAACCGGAAGACTCGTAATAATCGCCTTATCCGGAACGTGTATAGACTTTCGTATTGTTATTCCAACGCCTATTGGTGGCAATGTCATGACATCCATTCTCATTCTCAAAAAATTATAAATTTCATCTTCCAGATCTTCGTCATTATCTTGTGGTTCTGGTAAATACCCATAAAAGGCGGAATTATCAATATACATATGAACGCCTTTGAAATCACACTGGTAACGAAAAACCATATTATCATTAAATTTGTAGTCGTAACAGGGTGGAATTGGTAGAAATCTAACTTTTCCAGAATCTTTATTTTTTAAATTTATCATGAATGTTGAATGTACAAATGGAACATCAAAAGTCCCGGTTTGTTTACGTGTTATTATTTGCTTGTACAAATTATTCTTTACATGATGTCCCTGTTCGTTCACCTTACCCCAAAAGTTGGAATAATCGGTATTTGAATTCAACATAGGTGCAGTGATGGTCTCAGATTTTTCAGTGAGGTAATTCAAAGTGTATGGATTCATTAAAATATTATCAGCATCAATATATAAAATGAAATCAACATCAATCCTTCTGGCTTTGTTCAAAGCAAATTGCCTCAGTTTAAGCAGTCGAATGTATCTATCATTTGTCCAATCTAAATCGCTCCTTTGTCCGTTGTATTCAACTGATAAATCTGGTTTCTCAAATTCAATCTTTGCATATTTGTCTTTGAAAACTTCTACCCAGGCTTCCAGTTGCTTTGTAGAGTTATCTCGATTATGGTCAGAAACAATCCACAGCCACATCAGTTCTTTATCATATTTCAAATCTTCAAGGCCTCGTAAAAAATATGGCAACGAATGTTCCTTATTTCGTACAAATATAGCAACAAGTATTGTTTTTTCACCTATCTTTGATTTTATGTTTTTAGCACTAAACATTCTATCTCTTGCTTTCTCTTCGTATGTTGTCGTCTCTTCTAACATACATGTCGTCCGTTGAATCTTCGTAAAGCCAATACAAAGAATGAATGTGATACCAAATGTATTTGTTAACATAATGAGGTACAATCTATAAATATCAATTGAATTGATGACTGACTAAAGTATGCTGGCCTCACAGATCGCAAATCAGACATTTTGTTCATTATCATACCTACCGTGTTTCCCCAAAAATAAGACCTAGCCTGAAGTTTAAACATTATTTTAATATAAGTCATACCGCATTTTTATCACAACTTTAACACCGTCAATACAAGACTATTTGCAACATGGAATCTAACAACTCATATGAGAGCTAAACGTGTCACAAACACCTGCCAGGCTCCGCCTATATCACCCAATCAAGTATAATCTCAAGTAAAATGATGGTCAATGTTTAGTTCATATACTGTACCATGTAAAGTCTTGTGTGCATAATACGCCAGATACGAGATGTACTGTTGCATCATTCTGTACCTATAACTATTACCTATTCTAAACAATGTATAAACAATAAAATTAGACAACTGGTCAATATATCCCGAGGCAATGTTTCGTGTGCTTCGATTACAAGCATTCGTCACTTGGCTGATTTCCCCTTTTCAGCATGAAGACGAAGAAACACTTTTTAAATAGGATAGAAATAAAAAGATATCTGTAAATTAGATTTTAAAACATATTGATAAATAGTTTTTGGATGCGAAATGGTGCTATGGATCGTTTTGTTATGTTGTTAGTGTTGATATTTTTATCGTTTTCATGAAAAAAATTCCCCTTCTCTTCAACTACTAAACTTAATGCTTTGAAATTTCTGGTAGTTAAAGATTATTGTTGTCGCTGGCAGTCAATTATTTCAAATATTACTGTAGGCCCAATGGGATTCGTTTTTCACTATGAATTCTTGTGTGATGACCTCATCAAAATTAAAGTAGCGCACCTAGTGGCGGTTTCGCGTTCGCGATCCCTTAGTTAGTCGAAGTTGAATAGCATCGCATATTAACTGTGAAAATATGTACGTGTTTTTAATGACCTATTTGACAGAATAATGAATAATATTCCGATCCCGTAAATTAATGTCATCGTGTATGACCATATCAAAGGTGAAGATGTCCAATCTGATTAGCATTAAAGTTGCTACATGATATATCAATAAATATAGTAAATTTTCCATTTTATTTGAGTCTACATATTGGGGCAAAAAATAGTTTTGACTTTCGACGTCAAGTAATCCCAATTTGGATTCTAATTGCCTAGTAACGATAAATTCAAAAGGGACGATTGCTTGCACACGAAACATCGCCTCGGGCTGTATTCACCGGTTGTCTGATAATTATTCAAACTGTTTAGACACCGTTTTGATATTGTGCCTATTACCTACATGTACAAAATGATAGGTCGTGCAACAGTGCATCTCGTATCTAAGTATATTGTGTATAGGTGGCTTTGTACTGAGAATAGGAAGCAAATCATCCCCGTCACTCCAGAGAGATTAGTTAAGATATGTAGAGTGTGACAGTTTTTTGTGTAAAACGTTCAGCTGTCATAGAAATTGTTTGATTCGATATTTGATGTTGGAAAGAGTCTTGTTCTGAGCTGAAGTATGATTAAATTAATGTAGTTTATTCTTTGGTCATTAAATAAACAGTATCTGGTGGCATTTTTACCTTTCAATAATAAATGCTGTATAGGAATAGGTTTAGTCGTGTGTGAAGTATTCTTCAGTACAAAATGTACTTATCAGGTGTCTTTCTACAACAATTACAAGATGAGTAAAGTTTTTTTATGAGGTATTTGAATATGCTGGCGTTGAATGTTAAAAATCTCAGGCTAAATCATAATTCTCAAGGTTTATTAATCTGGGTAGACAAAGCAAGATCTGCTTATTTCAAAATATAGCCATTTAGATATCTGGCCCGTTTTTCAGAGACTGTAAAAATGAATTTGTAAAACGCATCATAAACAAATTGTAGAATTTTTGTTTTAAGAATTTTAAACTATATAAGAGCAGATAAATATTTTTTCAACGACTCACATCAAAGTGGAATAAATTTCATATACGATTCAAAATTCCATCACTCATAGCTTCTCACATATAAGCTGTTGTATTTTAGAGATTGATGAAATTAAAAACATTGGCAGCATGCAGAGATGTAGTAAGAAGCACATTAATCCATGGCCTTCATATTTTATAAATGCAGTTCCATATAAAAATTTCGTTTATTTGCGTGTTATACGGTTGATTAAAATAGTAAAACCATTTCATATTATGGCTTTTTTAAAAATGAACCACTACAAAAAGAAATTAAACATATTGTAGTAGTTTTTTAACACACCTGCCCTACTATCACTCTGAAAAAGAAGTCAATCATATTATTTTAATGAACAATTACTTTTAAGCAAAAATGTTTCCAATGAAACTTAACTGTCATGTTACATATTGTCCCATGATTAAGTATTTTTACATATTAACTCTGAGCAAATTTCTGTCCACTCATACTTAAGAAGTCACCCGTGCAAAGGCCATGAACCCCGTTGGAATGCCACTGCACAATATCATCACGTTTTGAAGTGATGGTATTCGCTTTTAAAATTTACTCTTCATGTTGAAGCATAATAAACATCTAGCAACACATTAGCTATGGTGGTGGACGAATTTCGAATCGAATGGTAAATTTTTCGAATTGGTTCAGAGCAAAATTTCAAATCGCCGCCATCTTTTTTTTTCTTTCCGCCAATGGTCGAGGGGAATTCCACATTTTTTTTTATTGAAGGCATATTTAGACATATGAATATTTTCTGTAGTGAGTTATTGTTGTTTCATTTGTTGACAAAACCAATTACAATAACAAAGTCTCTTACAATTATTACAATTATCTGATATCACCAGGTATTCGAAAATGCCCAGCCCTAATGCTGGATCATATATTAGTAATCTGCGACATCAATATATTAGGTAAAACGTGCTAATCACTTCAATTTATATTTATAGATCGTATCTCAATATGTTAACAAATACAATTAGCATCATATTCATTCTCTGTATTGGCTTTGTGAAGATTCAACGAACGACATGTATGTTGGAAGATACGACAGCATACGAAGAGAAAGCAAGAGATAGAATGTTAAGAGGTGCTAAGAACATTAAATCAAAAATAGGTGAAAAAACAATACTTGTTGCTATATTTGTACGAAATAAGGAACATTCGTTGCCATATTTCCTACGGGGACTTGAAGATTTGAAATATGATAAAGAACTGATGTGGCTGTGGATTGTTTCTGACCATAATCGAGATAACTCCACAAAGCAACTGGAAGCCTGGGTAGAAGTTTTCAAAGACAAATATGCAAAGATTGAATTTGAGAAACCAGATTTACCAGTTGAATACAACGAACAAAGGAGTGATTTAGATTGGACAAATGATAGATACATTCGACTGCTTAAGCTGAGACAATTTGCCTTGAACAAAGCCAGAAAGATTGATGTCGATTTCATTTTATATATTGATGCTGATAATATTTTAATGAATCCATACACTTTAAACTACCTCACTGAGAAATCTGAGACGATCATTGCACCCATGTTGAACTCAAATACCGATTATTCTAATTTTTGGGGTGGTGTAGACGAAGAGGGTCATCATGAAGAGAATGACTTGTACGAGGAAATAAGAACTCGTGAACAAACTGGCACTTATTATGTTCCATTAGTACATTCGACATTCCTGATAAATTTGAGAAATGAAGATTCGGAAAATGTTAGATTTTTACCAATTCCACCCTGTTACGACTACAATTTTAATGATAACATGATTTTTCGTTACCAGTGTGATTTAAAGGGCGTTCATATGTATATTGACAATTCCGTCTTTTATGGGTATTTACCAGAACCACAACACAATGACGAAGATCTAGAAGATGAAACTTACAATTTTTTGAGAATGAGGATGGACGCTATGACAAAACCTCCAAAAGGCGTTGGAATATCATTAAGAAAGTCTTTTCACGTTCGAGATAAGAATGTTATCGCCGATTTACTAGTTGATCATGTATTTGTTGTTAGTTTAGAACGAATGCGCGATCGCAGATTACGGATGACCAGAAGCTTCGCAATGTATGGAATCAATTACACATTATTTGAGGCTGTTGATGGAGAGAAACTAAACAAAAGTTATTTGGATAGTCTCGGCATCAAAGTACTTCCAGGTTACAAAAATCCGGATGACGATAGCAATATAACTGTGGGTGAAATTGGCTGCTTCTTGAGTCATTATTTCATTTGGAAAGAGATTTTGGAAAAGAAATACGAATCTACTATTATTTTTGAAGACGATATTAGATTCAAACCAAAATTTATACAAAAATTTAAACAAGTTATGGAAAAAGTAAGAAAAGAGAAAATCTCATGGGATTTTATTTATTTAGGAAGACAGCGAGTGGAGGAGAAAGGACCGGAGGAACTCGTGATATTAGAAAATGACAGTGGTCCTAACTTGGTGAAAGCAGATTTTTCTTACAGAACCATATCTTACGTGATATCCTACGCTGGGGCAAAAAAATTAATCGATGCCGAACCGTTAAGTAAAATCATTGCAGTGGATGAGTTTCTTCCAGTCATGTATGGTAAACAGCCCTTAGCGTATATCAATGATTATTTTCCAACAAAGAATCTCAATGCTCTTGCATTCGAACCAACCATTGTGAAACAGACACACTATGCTAATGATGATCATTTTATTAGCGAAACCTCATTTTCGAAATTGGTCAGTGATATCCTGGATTAGCTACACAGACCTGTGGAGAAAAATCCAACAATCCTAATTCATAAACCCACTTATACTCCGGATTTATAAAATTATTTGACTCCGACGTTGAAACACAACTCACACAAGTGAAAACTGATTTAAATGATAGATTGACAAGCAATTTGTACTCCGGGTCAATAAAATTCGAATCCGAGGTCAATTTATCATGACAAAACAGTTTTTAATGTTAAAAACTCAGATGTTTCGACATTAAAATTCCCTTGAAAAATTCCTAAATCTAAAATCAATATGTCAGAACGTCAAAATTTTGACTCGATCTTCGAACAATTCGTAAATACAACCACAGTTCAGATTCGAATGCCATCAAAAAGCTGCTTAGATCCTCCTTCGCAATCTCTTTGCTGCCACTTAAATTTTTGTATATTTAGGTTTCGACCCTAGACATTATGAAAACACAATAACAACCCGGAAGTCTAGAGCCGTCAAACAATCAAAAAATTCGAATTAATGCTCCAAAGTTGTTATGGAAACTTTCAAAACAAAATTGAACCGTAAACAAACAACCACGAAAAAGAGTAAAACATATTTATTTATCATGCCATATTCATTTTTAGGAGAGTTTGCGATTGAATATGCGTCAAATTGAATAATTGAAAACAAGCTTGCTTTGTTGAAAATGATTTGAAGCCACTTGGAATTTATACTTTTATATTTATTTATTTCTGTATGTCAATTATATTCATATGCTAATATTGTTTGATAATAGCAATTTTTACAAAGTACAACCTGGTCTAATGATGTAGCTTTGTTTTATTACCGTTTCTGTTTATTTTCAAAGTCTACAATGCTGAATGAAAATAAACGCGGAAAAGAATAATTTTCCTAGATTATAACAAAAGATACCAATGCACAAGTACAATGTGAAATGTCCTATGTTACTTCATTGCAAATATATCTCGGCGAAATGGTATTTGAGATTCACGCTCATAATTTTCCCTGATACAGTGTTCCCCAAACCAGTGAGGTTCTGAGGGAGGATATTTTACTATTTTGCATTTGCTAATGTTTTTGGTTTATTTGGTTTTATCATAAATACATATACAGTATATGCACATATCATGAACTTATAAAAACGCACAGAGGCCAGAGTAAAAACGCGTATCACTCACTTATGATCTATTGAAGAGTGAATAACATAGGAAAATAAAGTTGATGTGCAATGAAAGAGGAATGAAGAGTTATAAAATAGGGATGAATCAATCAACAAAGTTGCAAACCAATGACGCATATAAACGGTTTAAAATAGGGGTGCGTAACAAGTAGCCGCGGACCACAAACCGGCCCTCCAGGTCATTTAATGTGGCCCCGGTCCCGGGTCAACACTCCTATCAAGCATAAAATTCTAATCCACAAGTTTACGTTTAAAAAACGCTCATATGAGTAAGAATACATATTTTTTGCCTTCGTCGCTGCGTTAAAAAACTAAACTTTGATGTCTGAAGTTGTTAATACGGACCGCATACAAAACATGTTGCACACCCCTGGTTTTAACATGTTGCATTAGTGACAAGTTGTATTTGCATTTTTATACCTTCGAAAAAGCTGAAATCATGTATAGTTGTTTCACAAAGATATTATTGGATACGAAATGGACCTATGGGTCGTTTGTTGAATTATTGTTGCCGTTATTGTTGTTGGTACTGACGATTGCCGGTGTTGCAAAATATCTCATACCGCTTTGTTTTGGTCATCGTGTCTATATACTTGATCAGTGCTGTCTTGTTAAGGTTGGGCATATGGGTGAAATGAAATAAGTCTTGCACTTAGGCAAATTATCATGAAGGAATAATAGCATCAATATATATATATTCTTGCGTGTCTTTGGGAATAAAATTTTACATTCATGTTTGATCGTATGAATAACAAATGAGCAATGATCAAATATATGGACACGTTAACCAGGATAGGATAGGATTTACATATTTTTCCCGTGGGAGAGAAAAGTCGGTAAGACGACTTAATCATATGGCGAACCAAGGCCTCTCGTCCGGTTACCAGTCCAGGTCGGGTATGGGATTAGTTAGCCAGTTATTTGTTTTCGGAAGCATGGACTTGATGGTGGAGGAAACCGTAACCGACCAGCGGTTACGTGAACCACCGTACGGCGGCGAGGAGTCCAGCAATCCTCTTGCACATGATCATCCCCGCATAGGATTCTAAACTGCGATCCTACGAAGGGTAATCAGAGATGCGGTGGCGAGCGTGTATTCCTAACGCTTAGCACGATGTGTCACACCGCCGAGCCGCAGAGCGAAGCAGTCCTTACTTTTGACGCTACTTGTACCCTCAAAAAAACTCCGAGTTTCGTGTAACAAGGATTTACAAAATCAAACCGGACAACCAGTGTTCCATGGGATAAAATAAAACAGCAAAATTTTGTACAAATATCAGATTTCATACGAAATTTAGAAATAAATGAAAGTAATAGCCTTCTAGCAAAAATATAATCTTTACTTTCTGAAAATTTCAAAGCAAATGGTCCAGTAATCAATGAGAAAAGCGATTTTTCCATAACGATGCCAAGAAGAATACAAATAAGAACAAGAACAACAATAATGCAAAACGATCGGTGTGTGCACTAACGTGTCCAAAAAAAAAATGAAATATATATACAGATACGTGACGGTTTAAGAATCGGGCACTACTGCAATAAATTACTCATAAGTATTGCAATCAATTTTTGACGCAAGAAAATTTGCACTTGAATATTGTTGATTTTATCTTATATTTGAACTCACGAAACGACGTGTGTACCAATATGGAGGTAACTAATTTGTTCGCCTACTTTACATCAAGTTGTGTAAAGGAACTGAAGCCTATGGGCAGGGGGTATATTCACTTGGCTAACAAATACTGCCCCAAACTCCTAATAGAATTAAAATAAGAAAACGGAATAAATTTATGGCCTAGCCCTAACCTGGTAAACACACTACGGGAGTATACCCACGAAACGATGAAACAACGAACAACAGTTGCACACAGTGATATCATTGTGTGCAAATATATGCTGACATATTGGTCAGGTTTTATATTAGGATAGAAAAGAGAAATTTTCAAATACTTTGACACAAGGTTGAAATATCAAAGAATGTTAACATGAATTAAAAAAAAACAGCAAAATTTTGGGTGGAATATCAGGCCCCGTAGGCGTCAGAAATAAGTATAAACGCAAAAGTAATAGCTTTCAAACATTTCTTTCCATTTCTCGAACTAAAAATTTGAAATTTTTCCCAAAATTTATTAATACTGTAATCCACAATATATCACAAATTCCTTTTTATTTACAAGTGTCCCAATTAGATGTTTGCACGAAAAAAAATTCGCAACAGCACTGAACTTAGGTCAATGTCAAGGAGAAATATTTGAAAAAAAAACTCATTTGACCTCAAACTATTAACGTAGATTTAAATTTTATCTCGGAGGAAAATATATATATAGCGATGTAATATATAACAACAGTGTAATTTTTTAGGGAATAATATGGAAATTCTCTCAAATATTCAGTTGATAATACAAAATTTTGATTTGAAGTGATAAAATTACCATTACCGACAAAAATATGCAAAAAAAATCGGCAAAATTTTGAGTGAAATATCAGGTCCCGTAGGATTCAGAAATACGTAAAAAAATAGAAGTAATAGCTTTCAAATAAATCTTCCATCTTCTCGTACTGGAAATCTAAAATTGATTGAGCAACATTTTTCCTCAAAGTTTATTTGCATGGTATCGACAATACAATACAGGGTGTCCATAAAGTCCCTTTACAATTTCAATTTTGTTATGAAGTCATTTCTCAATTCAGGTTTGTTGTTTTTTAATCAGTGAAAGTATTTTTACTTCATTTAATACATCTGTGTGGCCAAAACAATATATGGTATCAATAAATTCCCTTTGCAATTTAAAAAAAAATTAAGACTTTATGGACACCCTAAATATCACAATATCCTTTTCATTTACAAGTACAATCAGTTCTTTGCACAAAAAACTTGCACTGCATGGAGAAATATTTCTGCAATGTCATGGAGTAATATTAAAAAAAACTCGTTTGACCCCAAACTATTAATTTGCATAAATTTAGATTTTATCTCAGATGGAAATGTCAAATCATATAACGCTGTAATGTATGTTTATGAGCAACACTGTAATTTTTAGAAAATAATATGGAAATTCTTTCAAATATTCAGTGTAATAAAACAAAATTTCGGTTTGAAAAGATAAGTTCACCATTACTGACAAAAATCTGTTGGATATGTTCTAAATTGCTTGAAATTATTATGACAACGTCTGATTAAAATCTGACAAGACCGACTCAACGCTAGAAGATAGTCTTGATATATTGAGAAAAAATTTTTTCGAGGGTGGCCTGTTGTGCGTAAATGACCGCTGTGTTGACTGTGATATTAAAAACTGCAATTTGCATTTTGCCGGTATTGTCCTCAATAAGGTTGTTGCATTGAAAAAAAACGCTTTACTCCACAGCCAAAAGATCAATGGATTTCAAATTTTTTGGACATCGCCAAAAGGGCATTACTCTTCTTGTTTTAAAAATACCACTAGTCTTATGGGATCCGATATTTTTCACAACATATTTTGCTTTTATTTTAATTCGTGACCTATGGAAACATATTATTTTTTCACGCTTGTCTGTGGATCTTTTCAGAAAACTGGGTGCCGATGCGCGATCTTTGTGCCTAAATATTTTGGCATTGTGCTCTGATGAGATCTTTATGAAAGTTGAGAAAGTCCTTACGAAGATGAGAAAAACCTCAGATTGATTACCCAAGTCATAATGAATGCAACAAACTTTCATTGATCGAGAAACGAGATTCGAGAAACCCACTGATTTTTTGTCAACTTTACATCTAATAAGGCATGCAAAAGTATTTGTTTTTACATCCTAGGTACTGAAAATTTAAAATTAATGAGTCAATTTGTTGCTAAGAAAGCGCAGTTTACAACAACAACCAACAAGAACAAAAGCAATTAACAAAATCCATCTATATGTTTACTTCATTTTAAATACAGGATGGTCGTTGGAAAAGCATAAAATTTGAAGGTCGACTGAGATCACGAATTAAATGCGTATAGGTATAGGTTGAATTGGAACGATATCACGCAAGTTAACCCTCAAAACGCTACACGAGCTTGGAATTCTAGGTTAGGAAACTGCTCTGAAGTGCACGGATGACATTTTGAGCATCTATAAGTGTAATATACCAAACAGACGTTTGTTTGTAGCTACAAATTGATCCCGTTTCCCCTAACACAAACTGGCCAGTAGAACTGCTCCACACACAATTCTCGAGTTGAGAACAAGCTGTTCAAAACATGCTTGGAGGAAAAGAGACAAACCGGTCAACCATTTTTGTACTTGGAGTTTGGAAATTTTAATTTACCATTGACTTTTGTATAAATACATCCAAAGCTGAGGCAATCAATTTATCACGCATCAACCAATTCGAAAAGAAATATCGAGTCTTCAGAAAGACTGTCTCCGTTTGGCACTTGGTGGCGCTCACACCCTTTTCTCACGATCAAATTTTGGTGATAGTCACTGTCTTTTTTAAGATCAAATTTTTGGATTCGAGTACATTGCTATTTTAGAGCTTATCTTACTAAATCTTATACTGTTTGCTTAATGTAAAACTTAGCTAAGCCACGTGTCCTTTTTCGTTAATTTACTACATATCACATATAAATTTATACTCGGAATAAATTCTTATCAGATTGTTAAATATTATTTGTCTTGTCAAGGATATGGTTGAATTTTTGAAGCTTAAAAGAGATTTGCATCAACATACGAGGCCGCCTTTTGTGATAGATATTTTCAATATTTGGTGTATAACGAGATACAGATAAAAAAGAAAATAGGGGGCTAAAAACCTGAACATTGTATAAAAATAAATTTCTAGGGAAATGAAGAATAATAGTTTTTATCAATAGTATTTGATTAAATAGCATCGACAATTGTGGCTAAATGACGTAATAACTTGCATCATGCATCAATAAATGCTTAATACATATTTGATTGATTAGCATCGACTATTATGGCTAAATTACGTCATAACTTACATCATGTATAACGAAAAAAAAATTTGACAAATTTGACTAAAGCATCAAAACACTTGGGCGTTGACCACAATTTTGAAAATTTATTTTAAAAATACCTAGTTGCTGTATCCGAAACAAATAACTTTTCAACTATTCCCATAACCGGCATAAACTAGACGAAGGGCCGTGATTCGCCGTATGATCATGTCGTCTCCATGGCTTTCTTCGTCCCGGGATAAATATAAAAAATCTCATCCTAACTGGCTCATAATCATTTAAGAAAAATATGACATCATGGCTTTCTACGATGAATAATTTCAGAAAAACGCTTTGAATTTATTAACGATATCATAAACTGAATTTATCACAGGAATTCAAAAATTTCATTTTTTGTTAAATATCCAATTACCATGGCAACCGGAAAAAAATCGAATGCTTGGTATTGTGTCCGGAGGCTTACTTAAACCGTTTATTTTTAGAGAATTTATACATTTTGTTAGCCAATAAAATTCGTTAAAAGTTTACACCCACTTTTATA